TCCTGCATCCGACTGGAATCCTGCAGACGTTTCGCCAAAATCTCACTTGGCATCTTCAATGCTCGCGCTCCGAAAACACTTCGAAGTGTCATATAGTGTCATCATATATATATATATATATATATATATATATATATATATATATATATATATATATATATATATATATATATATATATATATATATATATATATATATATATATATATATATAGTATTCGCGAAAAATATTGGCCCATAGCTGGACGAAACCTAGCACGTAAGGTATATTATGAATGTATAAAATGTTTTAAAGCTAACCCACGTTCAATCAGTCCGTTAATGGGAAATTTACCTAGTACACGTGTAAATCCAGGGGTTAGTTTCGTGCGGTATGCAACCCAACATACTCGATGTTTTCCCGGCGCCGGCCGCGAAGGAGAGGGAGAAGCATGTCGGCGGTGAACGAATAGAGACCATGTTTCTTTTTGTCTAGTCTGTTAGTATTGTTATCTTTTCGGCAGTGAGAGGAATAAAGCTTTATGTAGTGATAACGTTAGTGTTTTTGAACCAACGAAAATACAGTCCACCAATTTTCAAACGCAACACCATTGTCTATTGTATTTAACAGATGATTTTCTACACCAAAGCAGAGTTACAGGATGCTACTTGAGAAGCGGTTACGTTAATCTATCGAATTTGAACATTTACGTTAAAACTCATAATATATTTCATGTAAAAGGATATTATTTTAATATTTTGTATTATAATATTTATTGTGTTAAAATAACCATAATTTTGTTTTCTAAATAATCAAAAATATTAAGTTATTTTAACTTGGTCTTATCTTTTTTGAAGTTCCAGTCTTTATTAAATTATTTTCAAGGTTTCTATGTGACCTCTTTTTGAACATATATATACATAAAATAATAAAGTTGTATTCATTTATGAGAAAACGGAAAATTGTAGAAAAATCTACACCACGGCATTTAAAAAAAATCATTAATAATGTTTTTACAGAGTCTAAAATTTTCGTTAATAAAAAAGTTATGGGCAACTTTCAAAAGGGCCGAAAATTGAAAAACGCCCTATTTTTCCTATAGTTGTGAAGATCGCCATGCGGTTTCTTACCATTAAATGTTTCTCAAAAAACGAGTCCTTGACATGTAAGTTGACTTTGCTCTATCTAGTTCCGAAATAGATTTTTCCTTTTCAAACACTTCATTTATGACCCTTGTACATGCTGTAATAACTAAGCAAATAGATACAACTAGATATGTGCATTTTTATAAAGAAGTAATATATAAGAAGTAATCTTGGAATAAAGATTCAACTAGAATATCCAATTAACATGTGTAATTTTTCTTAGTAATTAACCAGATATTCAAATATCGTCTCTTATAAGATGTAAAAGTTCAACAAAGCACTCACTGGACATTAGCGGACACAAGCGTGTTTCATCTTTTCCTGCTTAAGGTGACGTGCAGATTCCTACATAGGCATCCTCCGATTCTTCTGGAAATTATGGATTCCCTTCCAATTGCCAATTTTGGGAAGTCAAGACAATGTTTTCGTTCCTATTCCTTGATCTTTTCTTTGGACATGGAAGAGTAATGCGGCCTTCTGCAAATTTTCATATAGACAAAGAATTGACGAAAACTACTACCGGCGTCAGGGTACAAAGTTCTCCATATGTTGGCCTTCCTTGGCTAATATCATTTACGCACTTTATTTTAACATTGATATTAACATGCAACATACAATAGGTAGATGTCACAAAAACATCACAAAAGCAAAACTATTTTATCGAACTGTGAACAACAACCTGAAAAAGATTAAACAATAATGATCAGATATTGGTATGCCATATACGCATAAGCGGTAAGAATGCCTTGTATTTCTAGTCGTATAGCATATTACTCATTTTGTATGAGCGAACTTAAAGGTGTAATCTTGTATATTCTTTGCTATAAATAGAAAGGAATTTTCGTCCAAACAATGTAAAAACGAACTTGTCAGCGTTTAGTTGCAGGAAGTATTTCTCCGAAAAGTTCTGAATATTATACAAATCGCGATTAACAGCTATCAGTGCCTATACAAATTCCCCTGGATAAAATGATCAATAAATTTTTGTGTCATCGGCATAGTAATGGCCTAGACAAGAAAGACATGACTTGAAAATTTGAAATATATATAGAGGAAAAGATTGAGCCTAATATAGATCTGTTTATTGAGATATAAAAAAGAAGATAATTTGGAGTTGTATGTAACTGCTTCAAAACTATTAGTCAGATTGTAATGTAAAACTGCGCTTAGTAAAGAATGATTGAGGATATCAAAACCTTTTGATCAATCCAAGAGAATCAGAACAGTACGCTTACCTTCATCTAGAGCTTTAAAAATATTATCGGTAATTTTCAAAGGGTAGTTGTGCAACTGTGTCCAGCTTTAAAACCTGATTGATTTGCCGGTATAATAGAGTTGTTATAAAAATACTTTTGTAGCTACGAGTTAATTTCTTTTTCAAACATTTTAGAGAATGTTAGAATACTGATAGGTCTGATATTAAAATTTGTCAGATTTGGTATTTTAAAAATTGATTGTATGGGTGATGTGTGGTAAAATATAGGGAACACAAAGTTTAATTGACGAAATATTGAACCCATCCACCCCTACAGCTTTAGTTTTAATATTACACCTTTAAAGGAGACATTAAGGCGTGAAGCGTGTTTGGTTCTTCGATAATACTCACTATCCGGCAAGAGATTAGTTAGCTATTAATGAAGATAACTCTTATGGCAACAAATTACTACTTCTACCTATAACCAAATCCAACGATTTCAATACTTTCCACAATTCCTTCTGATTCACCGTTTTTCGCAACTCGTTATAACAATTGTTAAATATTATAACTCAAAAATTCTACTTTATCTTTAGCATTTTCAAAAATATTATTCCACGGTATAGCCATTGGATCAGATTTAAGGCTCTAATCATTAATAAGTGTTGGTTGGTTAGTTGGGTTGGGTTAGTTGGATTATACCCAAAGAATTTGTAAGGTTGTTAAAAAAACTTGACCTCAGGATTTTGATTATCAAGTATATTAATATTAAAATTACCGATCCCGAAAATACCAGTGACAGCAGTATATAACTTTAATTGCTCATTCTTCTAGTGATCAAACACACATACTCATACACAACAAAAATTCCGAAGTTAGTATTTTAGTTAATATTTTGCAATTTAGTATTCATTGAAATAAAATCAAGGGAACTACTTATATTTAGTATAGTAAAATTGGAGAATTTACGTATCTGTGCCTGGAGTATCATACTTTTTATAATATTAATTAAACATAGCAATTTTAGTCAAATAATATACAACTTTTTAATCATGGAATGGTTGCATACCCATGATGGCAGTTGTTGAGCTATTATTTATAATGATATATTTATCGTCGATATATCTTATCGTCTACAAAAAATCCAAAATACTTGTTGTCGCTTTATTTTTAACCTACGCAAGTTTGACCACATATCCTCCGCTCCCAAAAGATTGAATTGGTTAAAAATCTAAGACGTTTTCAAATACAACTTTTTATGCTGTTTGAAACGTGTAATAAATTCTAACATTAAAAAATATTTGAATGACAAATTAGTATTTAGGAAATCCATTCATGTTTTGAACTTAAGACACCAATCATTACTCACTATGCCATTGCACAAAACAAGAAAAATTCCAATGGTCTTTTACATATAATGCTGTAAGCTTGTTCAACTCCTTAAATAGGGGCCTCAAATCAAAGTTACTTGGTTCATGTACAAATTTTAGCGTACTTTTAAAAAGACAGTTACTAAACTTAATATAAAATAATCCGCTAGAATACATGTATTTCATTCATTCTATTTCGTAATTTCATACATACCTACTTGTAATTTATATGTATTTGTACTTAGAGATGGGTTAAATGTGAGTGGCCTTAATGCGAGACTTCGCCCATGTAATGCTAATAAAGACTATTTATTATTATATAATTCTTTTGTATATTGACGCAATACAACCGATTTTTTATATGAACAAGCTTTGAATTTTGATAACTGTTTAATGTTAATGCTTAAAAAATAGAAATGAAGAATAAAAAATAGTGGATCCGCCAGGGCAAATACAACATTCATTTTTTTTACTTTTTTACTCGAAGATACATAAAATCTATCATAATTGTAAAAGGTGTAACAAATTAGGATTGTCTAAAACTTTATTGATTATGTAATTTCACAAAAAAAAAAAATACGTATATTAGTTATATATTAATCATTTATTTAGAATATAACAAATTATTTAAAACACAATATTATTATAATAAATATGAAATATTCCTTAGTAATTAGTTAGATATAGTGTACAGGTGTCCAAAATCTCAGCACAGAACGGTTTTGTATGATACGGTACATCCGTAGTATACAGTTCTATTTAAAGAACAAGCAATACTGTTACATTTTATGGAGTCTAAGAATGTTTCGTAATGTTCGGCTCTAGATATATTAAACAAGAATTATTTTTGTACTAATAGGTATAGGTATTTTTGTACTATAGGTACTAATAGGTATACTCTGGGGTGCAAAATTTGTATGCATGATGCATACAACTTTTGTAAATTGCCCCTTTAATTGGCAAGTCATAAACCTTTGACAAATATTTGGGAAACTGACACACTCTGTTTGTTGTCTGAAGCGCCATACAACGGATGATATCATAACCTAAGACCTTTTTAGAAACAGGTAGTAAAGAAATTTGTTTTATTGAACAGAGAAACATCAAGTCCACCTGGCGGTAGGTGTCAGAACGAAATGCAGTCTGATTATCTGGTTGCCTAAAAACACTTATGCGGGAAAACATTTATGCTTTTCATGTATCTCTATACCAATTATGTAAAAAACAACTCCACAAGTGCATCATGAAAATGCAATCATAAGTTAAAAGTTAAATATTGTTAGAGGAAAAGGTGGCAATGTGGCCTCTGCAGATATATTGGCCCCCTTCAATATTTTAATGTTTGAACAGCGCCATCTAGTATGTTTTATGCGCTACGGGATGCTCGCGGCATGATGGTATTTAGTACCTTACAAATCCGCTAGAGCCTGTCACGTTCGATTGTCATTCCAAACAGTTGAAATTGTTTATAAATAGAGTATTTTGGCTATTGTCTTCGGACATTGGATACGTTGAATTGTTCTTCTACGGGAATTAGAAGGTAAATACAAAATTAGATTTGTAATGATTATTTTTGGTGCGTTTGTTTAAAAATTCTCAATAGTTGTAATTTGGCTCCCTCATATTGGTTGTATTATGGTCCCGGGGGCCACATTACATGTAAGAGTAATTCATAATTTTCATATTTATATTTTTTGCTTTAAGATGCCTAGACCAAGTGTGCTCTCTCCGAGAAAGAAACAAAAAAAATGGGATCCTGAACAAGTGAAATAAGCAATTAAAGCAGTAAGGCACAGGGTCATGGGATAAAAAAGGCTGTAAAAATGTATTCTGCGCCTAGATCTATACTGAAACGGTTAGTAAAGGACGCTCAGGAATCTTTGTAGTTGCTTGTACATAAACCACTAAGAAGGAAACGTGTACTTCCAGCTGAGCTGGAAAAAAGTTAGTGGAGTATATCTTGTGTAGTATATGTTAGTGGAGTCCAGGTACTATGGGCTTACTAGAATGGATGTCTGGAAAATGGCTTATCAGTTAGCTGTTAAAAATGGTATTCTTAATACATTTAAGAATGAAGCAGCAAGGCGTACTTAGTTAGATCACTTTTTAAACCGACATAGAGACACTGTATCTTTACGCAGACCAATGGGGACATCATATGCTCGTACTCAAGGCTTCAATCATCAAGCAGTCAAAGAATTTTTTAATACTTTGGAAGCTGAAATGAGGAAAACTAATTATCTGGCTGACAGGATTTTTAATGTTGACTAAACTGGATTGGCAATTGTGCAGTCAAAAATACCACAGGTGCTAGGTAAAAAAGGCAAGAAGCAGATAGGTGCCTTAACTGCTGCAGAACGAGGGTCACTATGAACTGTTTGCTGCATAAACCCATTGGGTATATTTGTGTCAGCTATGATGATTTTCAGCAGGAAAAACGTTACGGCCATTTTTATGAATGATACAATCCAATTTGTTCACTGAACAGTTTAAGCGAATTTTATTGATAAAACAAACTCCAAGGTCGAATCTTCAATATTACTCATCTCTGATGGCCATTACATTGACACACGCAACCTAGAAATAATAGATCTAGCCGCGAAAATCATATCATGATTATCAGCCTCCCACCTCATAGAACGCACAAGCTCCAGCCTTTGGACAAGACTTTTATGGGTGCCCTAAAAGTCACTATAGTGAGGAAATTCTCAAGTTTTTTTTGCACTCGGACAGAATGCTGAAACCTTACAACTTTACTGATCTTTTTGGCAGAGCATATCTTAAGAGCACTACGGGAGAAATCGCAGCAAATTGGTTTCCGTGCCAATGGCATTTATCCATTTAATCCTCAAGTTTTTACAGAAGTCGATATTTTAATGGAAGAATCTAACAATAATCAAACATCTCCTACTCCTGATAATCAATATACAGGCCCTGTTGCTGACCAGAGTGCCCCAGGGGAGAGTGTAGAAGCACAAGCACAGGAGAATAGTTTGGTTTTACCAGAAGACATTCAGCCAATTTCTACGACCAAGACTAGGACTTCTAATCGTGGAAGAAAGGCTACAACAGCAAAGGTAATCACGTCATCACCATACAAAAATCAATTAACCGAATCTTTACGCTTAACACAGAATCGTGAACGTGGACGTGCAAGAGGCGGTGGACGCGGACGCGGACACGGTGTCAGACGTAATCACGACAGAGAAGGATCCGGTAGGAATGTCGTTCGACGCCAGAGAGAAGCTACATCTAGAAGTGGCCCTGAAAGTGACCAAGACGTTGTGAATACCGATTATGTCGAGCGTTTACAAACGCGAACGTGCCGTGTACGTTCTGCAAAACCATTTATTGACAGACCTGGAGAGCCATGGGTACAGTGTCAAAGTTGCAATTTATGAGCTCATGTAGCCTGTGGAGGTTCTGAAGGTGACTATTATATTTTTGATTTTTGCCGTTAATTTTTAATTGTGCAATCCATTTAATGTGACCCCCCAGTTGGTCACATAACTATCACTTGTTTTCAAGATACCAAATTTGAATAACTTAAGAATAAATAATATTTTTGTTATCTTGTACGCGTTTCATTTATTTCTTAGTCAGACATGTATATACAAATAAATAAGAAGTCCTATAATGTATCTTTGAGGTTTGTCACTCCTATATTTTTTAAATAAAACTTAAAAAACAAAGTGGGGGGCCCCATTACCACCTTTTCCTCTAACTTTTAACTTTCTTTTATAATTTATAAATTTGAACCTGGCTAAGTTGGCTTATACAAAATGAGGATTAAGTTATAGGACCAGATATGTGTTGTACATCATTTCAGATAACTGATGTTAAAACTTTTATAGATTATTATAGATTTCTATAAACTCTCGGATTTTTCGTGGGTAGAAGAACTTGGTAAAATTTGATGTTATACTTTAGAAATTTTGATATGTGGTCAGTGATGTGTTGAATGTAAAGAAGGACCACAGTGGCAAGTGTTGAATTGTTTTCGGTCTGTCTCATTGTTATTGGAAGGTTGTGGTGAAGTGGAGTTTTTGATGGAACGCTTAATATCTTTAATGTGGAAGTTATTACAGAGAAGTGTTTTAATTCTGGGTTCAGTGACTCAGGCTTAGATAGTTTTACAGCTCTGTAAATAAGAGAGTTGATAACCGATGATTTTTGGGCCGGATGGTAATGTGGCCATGCATTAAGGTATCGGTCTGTATGCGTAGGTTCGCTGTAAACACAATGACCCAATGTTGGGTCTGATTTTGTATTGAAAAGAATATCTAAGAATAGAAGGTTATTATTAGTTTCCAACTCAATGGTAAAACGTATGTTAGGGTGTATAGAGTTTAAATGTCTAAGATCTACTAAAATAAACAAATAATAAAATAACAACAAATAAGAAAAATATCATCGACGTAAAGTTTCCATAATTTTAGTTTTAGATGAAAGGTATTGAGAGCTTTTTTCTCAAATGCTTCCATAAATATATTCGCCATGACTGGTGATAGTGGAGAACCCGTAGCTTTTCCCGACGTTTGTTCAAAAATTTGATCATTACAAGAAAAATATCTTCCCGACAAGCATTTTTCAATTAAGCTTTAGTTCCAGATTCTCGGACTTTAAAATATCTGAAATAATGTCGAGAGTTTCAGGAATAGGAACTTTGATAAAGAGGGATTCTACGTCGAAACTAACTAGAATGTCTTGTGTATCTAATATAATGCTTTACACAAGAATATATTTATGGAAGCCTTTGAGAAAAATCTCTCGACACCTTTCATTTAAAACCAAAATTATGGAAACGCTAGGTCGATAATATTTTTGTTATTTGTTGTCATTTAAGCGCTATACACCCTAACATAAATTTTACCATTGAGTTGGAAACTAATAATAATCTTGATTCTTAGATATTCTTCTCAATAGAAAATCAGACCTAACATTGGGTCATTGTGTTTACAGGGAACCTACGCATACAGACTGATACCTTAATGTATGGTCACATCCCCATCCGGCCCAAAAATCATCGGTGATCAACGCTCTTGTTTATAGAGCCGTTAAACTATCTCAGCCCAAGTCACTGAACTCAGAATTAAAATACCTTACCTCTGCTCTTCTCTCTACTAATTTCCACATTAACGATATTAAGCGTTCCATCAAAAAATACACTTCACCACAACCTTCCAATAACAATGAGGCCGAGAGCAATTCTACACTTGCCACTGTGGTTCTTCCTTACGTTCAACACATCACTGACCACATATCAAAAGTTCTAAAGAAGTGTAACGTCAAATCCATTTACCACTTGTCCAAAAATTTCTCAACATCTTCGGTCCGTCAAAGACAAAATTCGATTTGACATGCTAGGAGTTACAGCATTCCAATGCGGCAAAGAATACATTGGAGAGATCGGACGAAAAATATCAACTAGACTCAAAGAACATGAAAGAGCCTTACGACTAAGACAAATAAACTCATCAGCTGTTGTTGAACACACTCTTGAAACCGGACATAAAATTTTATTCAATAAAACTAAAATTCTGAAATGCAATCATTTCTTCTACCAACGAAAAATCCGAGAGTCTATGGAAATCTATAAACAACCTAACAATCTTAACCTACCTGGCACCAATATGGGAATCAGCTATACGAGCCAGTTTCAGTCAAACTCTGAAGAAGCCAACAGGATGATTCGACTCAGCAAAAGCCGACGCAGGAGGAATCCAGAAGTTTTGTAAAAAGTAGAGACCGTATTTTATATCTCAATTATAAAAAGGTTCTCATCTAATACAAGGTGGTCGAAATATACTGTAATCTAACAACTTCAAGTGACATAGCTATAAAATGGTATCCCATAGCTAACTCTTCGCAGAATATGCGAAAGCATGGTTGTTGCTGTTATCTAAATATATGTTGCAGTGAGTTGTATATGCTCGGGTTTTGTAAAGTCTACTTATTGAATGGTCTGTACATTTAGATATTTGATCACGACTTGGCATTTTTGCGAATTCTATTGTTAAGAGTTATTAGTAACTATTAGCAGGCTTAGAAACAAACAGGAGCAACACTTGAACAAGATCTTTAAAAATCGTAGGAAACATGAAAAGCAATTTGTTTTATCTGGGCTATAACCGCAACTCAATCATCTATAAGTAAAGTAAAAAGAAGTCTAGTGGTGTTAACTCTGATTATTATAAAACCAATCCAATCCATTTGTTTTCAAAATTTTATTCTAATGTTTACTGGAAATTCCTTAGTTATACAGGAAGTTGATATTACAGAAAGTACAACTAATACCAACTAAATATGACCCAATTATTCTACTCCACACATTCAGGGACCACCAAATCTGATTTCTTATGATTCTATACGGATTCGAATAAAACTAATGATGGTAATTGTGCCTATTAGACCATTGTACTGAAAAGAACAAATTGAAATACCCTGGGCAACCAGATGCAATGAAAAATTTATTCAGATAACACTAATAGGACATCGTAACACTATTCGATATGTGAAAAGTACGTTCCCTGGTAATTTAAAATTATGGAGGGCAATTTAAATTAACATTGCTAGAGCAGCAAGTTGTTATTAGATTAGAATATATCTTTGGCCACCCAATATGAAAAGACTTTTATAACGAAGATATCAAATTTGTTACACTCTATGGCAAATTTCTCTGAGGTAAGTTAAATACTTTTTATGTATTTAAGAAATTAAATAATTAGATTACATTTTAAAATCTAGATCTCAAAAACTTTACTGAAACAGAATTTTATTTTGATCGTTGAATATTTAGGGAGTCACATTTAAAAAATCAACTCTGACACTGTTTAAGATATTTTCGCCTTGTTGGGGCATTATTTTCTTAAGTTAGTAGATATATTTAACTCCAAGTGGTTAGGCCACCCATTCCACATCTATATCTGTGTTTCACCGAGCGGTGCTGTTTCTTTGTAATTAAAAAGTAAAATAAATATGTGGGAACAATATACAGTCCATCTAATCAGTGAGGAGGCCATAGGCTCGACAGAACAAATAAATAAATAAACAAAAAAATAAAATAACAAATATGGCTTTTTGCATTAATAAAATTGCCTGGGTGAACTCAGAATATTGTCGCGTCTATAAAAGCTTTTTTAAATAAGCAGTAGAATAAATAAGAATAGAATAATAGCCATAGGTACCTGTCCGTTTCTTAATAAAGTCCTAAGCAGTGTTTTTAATAGTTTAACCCAATAAATATTTGTGAAAACAAGTACCAATAAAATATTTAATACATAATTTTTGAAGAAAAATGGCTGACGGACCTGCTCTCAAACAATTAGAGGAAACTGACTTTCAACAAAAATATTGCTCAATTTTAGCAAATGCACAAAGCTTGGTTACTCATTTTGGGCAGGCGTTAAATATTGATACTGTGCTAAGAAGTACCACGCAGGTACAGGGTGCCTCCAAATCATTTTCAGTTCGTTGCCGAAAATAGGTACACACAAATTTTCCGGAAAATAGGAAGATTGGTCGGGATGGAAGGATGCTTTTATAGCAGTAATTGATTCCGACATAGTAGCAGGCGAACGGCAAAAATTTTTACACCTAAGGAACAGTCTAGAACCACATGTTTTAGATGTAATCATTAGACCTTCGAACTATAATTTAGCTTGGACGACTCTGGTCGAAGGATTTGAGAATAAGGCTCTTATAATTCATAACCACATCAAAACAATAGTCGAACATCCAACAATACAGAGAGCTTAAAGAGTTTAGAATTTTAGACTATTTACTGAAAAGCAACTTGAAATCGCTGCAATCTCTAGGAGAAAATATTGATACGTGGGATCGATTAATTTTGTATTTAATAGCCAAAAAATTGGATTCTAAAACCCGAAGAGATTGGGAGCTTTTCAAGTATGAACAAGATTTACCTTCTATGGGTGACTTTAATAAATTTCTGAATCAAAAATATTCAATGTTAGAACGACTTGAAGTGCATAAACAATATGATGCATCTGAGACCAAAAAATATAATAGTTACAAACCAAAAGGAGTATCTTTGGTGACTCGGGAAATTTGTTGCGAATTTTGTAATGGTGCGCATGGCATTCAGAATTGCAATAAATTTTTAATATTAAGTACATCACAAAGAATTGCGAAAATTAAGGAGAAAAAATTATGTTTGAATTGTTTTTCCAAAGCGCATATTTCAGTATCTTGTAAAGTCCGAAAATGCGGCACATGCTTAAAACCGCATAATTTATTATTGCATCTCGAATTTCGAAATAATGACATGCCGGAAACTGCAGCCAATGTTGGCGTTCTTTGGCATTCCCAGCTCAAAAACGTCACGGTGGGCGGTTTTTCACAAGCTAAACAAACAGAGCCAGAAGGCCAGGAAAGCGAAATAACTACGAAAAACCGAAATACCGATCAAAAATTCGCGAGCGAAACAACTGATTTCACTACAACGGCAGAACAGGGTCAAGTTTTACTTTTTACAAAACTTCTGGATTCCTCCTGCGTCGGTTTTTGCTGAGTCGAAATTGCTGACGTTTCGCCAATCATCCTATTGGCTTCTTCAGAGCTTGACTGAAACTGGTTCAGTCAGCACCGGAACCCTGTGAGGTAGATAATCTTTTTCTCTTGACGATCCCATACGTGAAAGGAATATCAGAAATGATTAGGCGAATAGGTAAACAATATCAAGTTAAAACTGTATTTAAATCTGGATCAACATTAAGAAATTTACTCACAAAAACAAAGCCTGAAACGTCGACTCAAGAGAAAGAGTGTATCTATCAGGTACCCTGTGAATGCGGAGAGTCATATATTGGCGAAACCAAACGACCTCTAAAAATAAGAGTTGAAGGACATAAGAAATATACAACGAAGGGAGAAAAGCAAAAATCAGGTATCGCAGAACATGTGTGGACCAAACAACACAACATCCAATGGTCCAGAGCGCGGGTTGTTCACAGAGAGCAGCATTGGAGAAAGCGCAAATTTAAAGAAGTAGTTTTCATTAGAAACAATGAAAACACAAGCGTGGATATACCAACAATTTGACAACCTCTAATAAGGCGCACCAATGCTGGCGTTCTAGTTGAACAACTTCACGCTTGACTACACCCGACTCCGTCATGGTGAGCGCCGTCGCCTAGTATATAAACCTTGTAGCCTTAGAATTAAGTTTAGTTTACACTTTTTAACGGGTAGTGATACAACTGTCCGAACCGTTGTGTAAGTTAAAAATAAAGAAAATGGAATTTCGACATCCTTTTAGTATTTCTACTGAATCAGTGTGTACCACCTTCAAGCATACCTCAACGAACGTCAAGTACGCCACAAATGGACCAAAAAAGGGAGGAATCTTGGTTCTCCTAGTAGAAGAAAACACCTATGTGGAAGCTCAGACGGGTTATTCAAGTTTTTCCAGGGTCTGGCGGCGTTGTGCGTGTTGTTCAAGTGAAAAGTCAGGGTAGTGTTGTGGAAATATGTTAATAAATTGCGACCACTACCTATTGACACGAATGAATAGTGTGTTCTCATGTATTTGACTTGGAGTTATGACTGAGAGTCAAAATAACTCTTTCTGTACAGGATTTTGATTATTGTTTTCGGTTCTAAGAGGAAATGTAATACTTTGTTTTTGTTGAAAACTGCGCGTTTTCAAGGTGGGCCGTATGTTTAAGATATGTTCGCCATGTTGGGCATTATTTTGTTATGTTAGTAAATATATTTCAGTGGTTTCACATCTATTTCCGTGTTTCACAGAGGTCTGTCGATTGATCTCAGTCGACGTAGTTATCCGGGGCAGACAAGACGAAGAGACATGTGTCGAAATCGAAGAGTGTAGTATTTTTGTGCTCTGTTTCTTTTGTAATTAAAGAGGAAAATAAATAAGTGTGAACAATATACAGTCCATTTAATCAGTGAGGAGGCCATAGGCTCGACAGAACCGTTAAATAAACCCAACAGATACTTGATCTAACCATACTTGATTATAACACGTTATTATTACTTTTTTCTGATTTTGATTATAACACGTTATTTAAATTATAACTCGATAAAAAGAAAGTTATAATAAAGGACATCAATTAATTAGAAGGACAAATTGACTATCTTCTCATTAACAGTATTTTTTATAGATTACTCTTAACTTTAATAAGGATTTGCATGGCACATTAAGAATAAAAAGATGAAAAACGCCGCTACACTTATTTCTGAGTACCCATTGAGTGCTTTGTTGAACTTTTACATCTTATAAGAGAACGATATTTGAAGATATGTAACATATTTTGGGAAATTGTTTCTCCCGAAGAACGAGTCGTCACTGCACTCAGGTAAAACAGCATTACCATCAAATACTTAATAATTTGTAAATTCATTTAATCAGTTGTGGTGCCTTTATAAAATATTTTATAATCTTGTTTTTGTTACAAAACATAATACTCTGCACATTTGTAACTGTAAATACAGTTGCTAATAGTACGTCCATGAATATATTACTGATAGTCTATGGATATTTCATGGACATCATGGACGTTTCTCACAGATTTGGGCATAAATAGAACGTTTAATTACAGACATCTACCTTATATTTAATTTAATTTTAAATGGCTAATGAATATACCAGTAACATCGTTTTCGGTACTCTGGTAACCTGGAGTAAATCAAACTAAGGGTTTATATGAAGAAAAGTTAAATGTGCTATACCGGACACGGTCGTGACGGGCCCTCCGCTAGCGTCACCAGTATGGCATCTATGGTCCAAACGTCCCATAGCCAACGTCCGTCGGATGGGTGGGTTGACAAACCCTTAACGTCGTCCCTCACCCCTTTTGTTACATGTTTGGACGCAAAGTCTCAATCAGATACTGAACCCCCGGATTTGTCACCAAATCTCTCAGGGCATGACCTAACAGATGTCTTTGAGATAGCCGATAGCTCGGACTCCGTTTTTGCCAGTTTGCCAAAGCTATTTTTAAACCACATTTTGACAAATGTTTTGAAAATCTTTCACTAGGTTCTCCTATGCATGTAATGGTTTTAAATTGTTCATGTTCTGTATTACGTTTCAGATAAATAGAGTTTACTGTTGTCTGTATTTGTTTTTTATTTATAATTTTATCTATAATGTAGCCGTTGTTCAGTGCAATTTGTTTAATGATATTAAGTTCTTTGTTGTAATTTTCTGTTGAGAGTGGCGTATTAAGAAGTCTGTGTATAAAAGAGTTAAATGCAGCCATTTTGTGTGTATAAGGGTGATTTGAGCTGTTATGTATGACTGTGTCCGTGTGTGAAGGTTTATAATAAATAATAATAATAATAAACCTTCACACACGGACACAGCCATACATAACAGCTCAAATCACCCTTATACACACAAAATGACTGCATTTAACTCTTTTATACACAGACTTCTTAATACGCCACTCTCAACAGAAAATTACAACAAAGAACTTAATATCATTAAACAAATTGCACTGAACAACGGCTACAATCCGTCCATTATAGATAAAATTATAAATAAAAAACAAATACAGACAACAGTAAACTCTATTTATCCGAAACCTAATACAGAACAAGAACAATTTAAAACAATTACATACATAAGAGAACCTAGTGAAAAAGTTTCAAAACATTTGTTAAAATGTGGTTTAAAAATAGCTTTCAGAACTAACACCACAATAGGAAAATATTTAAAAAACAATAAAACGAAATGTCCAAAATCCCAAAAATCAAAACACATTTTTGACGAAAATTTTGATATATTACATACAGCCACAAAAAGTAGAAAATTAAATTTATTGGAAGCCATGGAGATTAACAAAATGAGACATTCAAATGTATTGCTTAACGATCAATTAGATTTAAATACTTCTCCTTTATTGAAGGTTAATTCTCGCAACAACATTAATTAAGGTTTTATGGTCCTTTTTTCGGTATATATAGTAGCAGGTATTTTGTCGTTGTTGTCGAAACAATTGTCATGTCAAAATATCTAATTTCGTGAAAATCTGAACTTTTAGTTCTTATTTATTTTGATAAATGGATTTTCATCAAGTAAAAGCCACCTCAGTTCAACCCTCTTCTATCCCCGAATACCTATAGGTCTCTTCGCCTTCAAGCTGTTTAAAGTCGCTCACTATTATATTTTCTTTTTTTTTTAGCTTACCTTTTTTGAATAGTGCTTTTGTACACTTTTCTAGCCCAAACTGCATATTAATTTCTTTACTAAAGTTTCGTACTGTAACTATTTGTTCTTCTAAGTCGGTCTCGCTTTTGTCTATCAGTTTTAAGACATCCATGCAAAGTGAATGATGTAACTTGACATTGCTTAAAGTGTACCCTGTGTTCGTTCTGTTTAGTTCCGTAGATAGTGGTATTAGGGATATACAGAACAGGAGAGGTGAGAGCGAATCTCCCTGGAATATCCCTTTCCTGATTTTAATGCCTGGCATTATTATTTCCGAGTCTCTCGCTTTTAGATGCAGTGTGGTACTCCAGTTCGTCATCATATTTTGACATGTCTTTATAATATTTTCGTGCACTCCTACTAGTTCAAGGCTTTTTAGGATCCAGGAATGAGGGACACTCAAACACCTTTTTATAATCGATCCAGGCCAGTGTCAAGTCACGTTTGCGTTTTCTGCAGTCCTCAAGAATTTGATGCCGCTGATCTTTGCAGCCCTTCGATCCTTTGCAACATCCTTTTTGTTCGGGGGGCATTATTTTGGCTTGGTAAACATATGCTTCGATTCTTTGCACCAGAATTGCAGTAAAATTTTTTTTGTCGTTGAAGGACAGGTTATTGGACGATAATTTTTTACTTCATCGGTATCTTTATTTTTTTGTATCAGATACGTTTTCTCTATTGTGAGCCATTGCGGAAATTTCTCGTTTACCATTAATTTAATATAGTTTTGGCTAGGTACCGCTAGGTCCGTAATTTCAACCAGAATTTAGGGATCACATCTGGTCCAGAATCTTTCCAGTTGGCTGTTGTTTTTATTGTGTCGGTTACTTCCTTTTCTGTTATTAAGTCGATATACATGTTGGTCTTATGTTCAATTTTCGATCTTTTTATCCACACAGAGTTTTATGTTTATGTTTTCTGTTATCTTCCCAGATGCCTTTCCAGAATTTTTCGAATTTTTTCGCGGAAATCCTTTTCCTTCAATATTTTGTTGGGTTAAATTGGTATAGAATCCCTTACAATCAGTTTCGAATTTCCTATTATCTAAAAATTGTCACTATCTCTTTACTTACCTCCTTAGCCTTTGCGCTTTTGCTGATATCATTTGCTTTAGCTCCTCTTTTTTAGTTTCTAAATCGTTTGAGAGAACTTACATTGTAGTGATGTATTGGATGACATAAATACTGACGAATGTTGATATCGAAGCAATCTCTGATGCTTGGCGCTGAACACTTGTACTGGAGGATTCTTCGATAATATTTTTTACTAATAAGGCTCGCTGTTGGCCTCTATAGGAGACTCTAGACCAGGGGTCTCCAAACTTTTCAGCCTTAGGGCCATATTGATCACGCCAAGAAATTCTAAGGGCCAAAACAATATTATCATTAATTGTCGCCGGTGATAAAAAGTTGAATCAGTCCGCTGATGATGTAAAAGGAAGTTAAGTTTTTGTCAGATGCCTCTAGCGATGGGGAAGTCTGATATATTATCTGTATCGTATGGGTTACCGTTATAATGGGGTACCTATATCGTATCGGCATAGTAATCATTGATTCCAAAAATAATAAAATACACAAGTAATCATGGATTAATTTATTCTTTAGTAATTGTTACTTCGGTTCCTAAAGAGTACTCAAGTAACGAATGTGTAAAGTTTTACTTGCAAAAAAAAGTCCGAAAAAGTCACGTTTAAAAAAGGCTGCAAATAGGACTAAAGTCCGCAAAACGGCAACACTGCGCATTATTAGTTTTCTGTTCATTTATTGTAATTTCTGCATTTGTCGTAGAGCACGAGCAAGCCATGAGAAGTAACGTGACAGGACATCTGGCGAACACAAGCAGAAATAGATAGTTCCTTTGTTAGCTAAAACTTGGCGCTAATAGCACTTACAGAATTATCTTGTGGTTCGAGAAGGTGCTGGTGTTTTCCACTCACTTCTAGATGGCAGTAAATGGAATACTTAAGAAAGCTAGTGGCGCAACCACAGTCCAGTTTATATGACACTGCTATGAAATTAAGCAGTGTGTACCTTCTTTAAACGAGTTTGCGCGTGTTTAAGTTTAAGACATATTTGTAGCAATTTGTCTGATTAAAACTTTTTTTTTGTGTGTGATTTTGTAAAATGGAAAAGAAGCGAAAAATTGATAGTGAATGCAGAAAATTCAAAGAGGATTGGAACATTCAGTATTTTGTAATTGAATGCAGCAACAAGGCGACATGTTTGATTTGCAATGAAAGCATAGCTGTTATGAAAGAATATAACATTAAGCGTCATTATGAAGCAAAACATCTTAAAAATTATTCAAAATATACAGGAAATTTGCGGACAGATATGAAGCGCGGATTGAAATCGCAGCAATCTTTATTCACAAAACTCAAAACAGAACAAGAGAATGCAACACGTGCCAGCTTTTGTGTGGCTCTTGAAATTGCAAAGCGTGGAAAACCATTTACCGATGGAGAAATGATCAAAGACTGCTTAATCGCAGTAGCCGAAGAAGTGTGCCCTGAAAAGGTAAATTTATTAAAAACTGTCAGTATGTCAGCAAACACTGTGGCCAGAAGGGTAGAAGACATCGCTGAAAATATATCTAATCAATTGTACGAAA